GGCTGATGTGGCTTTCAGGGGCCTTAAATAACAAAACAACTGGGGCTATTCCTTTCTCTCCCGTTTCCTATTTTGGGAACCAAATATTTAAAGAAAAGTATATTCAGAAGCAACTGCTTGGACGGTAACTATGGTCCCAGCCTGGTGTGTAGCCAAAAACTAGTAAGAAGCCAGGATTCTCAGTGACAAAGCCACAAGACATGAATTTTGCCAGCAACCCAAAGGAGCTTGACTGAGGATTCGTCCCTGCTTGGGCCTCGAGAGGAGAATGCCGTATGACTGACACATTGGAGCCTGTGGGACCCTGAGCAGAGGACCAACTTAAGTTGTGGTAGGAGTTCTGATCCATGAAAAATGGGAGTTGTTTCAAAAAGAAAGAAAAAGAAAAAAGCAACCATGTAAACAGGAAATTTAGAAAGCCATGCTCAAGTTCATGGAAAGACACAGGTTCAAGAAAGACCAGAGAAAACCTCAAGCTTTCACCTCAGGCTGATCAGCAATACCCTCAAAAATTGAAAAGAAAAAAAAACACCCCGGGGAAAGAGGATAATCTCATTTCCAGATTTACATTATAAAATTCAAATGTCCAGTTTTCAACAAAAAGTCACAAGGCATGCAAAGTATGACCCATTCAAAGAAACAAAGAAAGAACAGAAATCATCACTGAGGAAGGCAGCAGACCGCAAACTTTCTAGGCCAAAGGCTTTAACGGTCTGAAAGCTGCTCAAAGGGCTAGAGGAGGACATGGACAAAGACAGGAAAACAATATGTGACCAAAAATACTATCAAAAGAACCAAAAGAAAATTCTGGAGCTGAAAAGTGCAATACCGAAATGGAAAATTCCCTAGGAGAGTTAAAAAGCACATTTAAATAAGAAGGAAGAATCAATGAACTTAAAGATTGGACAACTGGAATGGAGAAAAAAGAAAAGTGCACATAACCAAAGAGTCCCATGGGAGACCATTAAGCAGACAAGCACTGTGGGAATCCCAGGAGAAGAGACAGAGAGGGGAGACAGAATATTTGAAGAAACAATGACCAAAAATTTCTCAATTTGATGAAAGATAAGAATCTACACATAGAAGCCAGACAAAACTCCAGATGGAATAAACTCAAGGACACACAAGGACGGAGAATCTTGGAAGCAGCAAGAGCAGTGACTTGTCATGGACCCTAAGGGATCCTCAATAAGATGACCAGATTTCTCATCAAATTTTGAAGGTCAGAAAGCAGAGGGTTGATTTATGCAAATTGATGAAACTCAGAATTCTATATCCAGAAAAATTCCTCTTCAAAAGTGAGGGAGTTTGCTACCACCAGAATTGCTTTACAAAAAATGCTAAAGGAAGTCCTTCCCTTAGAAATGAAAGGATGCTTGCTTAGACAGTAACTCAAAGCTGTAAGCAGAAATCAAAATCTCCAGCAAAAGTAAATACATGGACTGTTATAAAAGCTAGAATTATTGTAAGTTTGGTTGTAAGTTTACTTTTTATTTTCTACAGGATTTAAAAGGCAAATGCATAAAAAACTACATTATTGGGCACACAATATATAAAGATGCAATTTGTGACAACAACAACGAGGGGGAGATGGAGCTGTACAGGAGCAGGGATCTGTATATGCTATTCAAAGTGGTAGAACTTAGGTTGTTGTAACCTCAGGATGTTAAGTATAATCCCTGTGGCAACCACGAAGAAAACATCTATAGAATATATACAAAAGGAAATGAGAAAAGATTCAAAACATGTCACTATAAAAAAAAAATCAACTACAAAAGCCAGGAATGAAGTGAGGGGGAAAAAAGCTGTCAGGCACATAGAAAACTAATAAGAAAATGGAAGAAACAAATCCTTTCTTATAAGTAACTATATGTGAGTGTATTAAACTCACTCTCTAATCAAAAGGCAGAGATTAAAGATGTCCAACTAGGAAGCTCCAGGCCTGTGCTACCCCCATGGAAACACTGAAAATACATACGTAAAAACAACTCCAGACTCTGGAAATCAGTCAAAAATCTACAGCAACCAGGTGAATGCCCAATCAAGAAAAGGCCAGTCAAAATGGCAGAGAACTTTGTGGCAACTTTGCTTGCCTTTGCCTCGACCCTTCCTAGCACAACAAGGTGTGGTTGGGAGGAACCAGCCCAGTTCCTGATGTTCTCCCTTGTGTTGAAAGAAGGGGAGCAGAAATCATCTGCAATGTTCTGAGCTGTCTGGACTCCTGAGGGACTGGTTTCTGCTTGCCTGGCCTGGAGCTCAGGCAGGGGAAGATGCCAGAGTTGAGACTGCAGGCTGGCCAGAGCCCCGGAGGGCAGCAGCAAGCAACACAATGTGTAAAAGCTGCAGGGGGAGTGCAGACCTGCAGATGCCTGGGGCAGAAAAATACAGTAACACATCTAAGGTCCCGAGAAGAAGCTGGAGTGAGACTCTGGAAAATTGGGACTTTCTAAAAGCAGCCGTGTGTATGGGGAAAAAGAAGAGGGGCCTTGGGGGGAGGTACAGGCCCAGGGAGGACACAGTCCAAAACAAGACCTGAGACTTAAGCCATCAGCCTGGGTTGATCACAAGTCTTAGAACACACCCTGCTAATTAGTGAGGGTCTTCCTGCCATTCTGCAAAGAATGGGAAGACATGGCTGTTTTTTCAAATGACGAGTTTTCAACAAAAGATTTCAAGGCATACACAGAGACAGGAAAATGGGGCACAGCCAAAGGAACAAAATATATCTTCGGAAACCAAAGAAACCGTCCCTAAAGAAACTTACTAGAAAAAAACTTAAAATAACTATTAAACATGCTTAAAGAACTAAAGGAAATCAAGAAACATATATGAACAAAACGAGAATATCAGAAAGTCATGTACGTATAGGATTTAAAAAAACAAATTCTGGAGCTAAAAAATACAATAAAGGGATTTAACAGCAGACCTGAGCTGTCAAAAGAATCTGTGAACTTGAAGACAGGTCATTTGAAATCCTTGAAACAGAGGAACAAAAGGAAATACATTCATTGAAAAGTGAAGCGGGCCTAAGGGACTTATGGGATACCATCAAACAAATATATGCATTATTGGGGCCCCAGATGGAGAAAGAGAAAGGGGCAGAGAACTTGGAAGTGATGGACAAAAATCTAATTTGAGTAAAGAAATGGACATACAATTTTAAGAAACTCAACACATTCAACAAAAATAAATCCAGAGACACCCACAGCAAACACTGAAAAACTGAAGGGCAAAATGGACAGCTCTACGATAATAAGATTCTTCAGTACCTCACTCTCAGTAAGCTAGAGCAACCAGGTAGAAGATCAGTAGGGAAAGCGAGAACTTGAACAACACTACAGACCATTGGGACCTAAACAATATCCCTACCAACAACAGCAGAATATACGTTTTCCTCAAGTGCACAGAGAACATTCTCCATAATAGACCACATTCTGTAAGGCCATGAATCAAGTCTCAAAAAATTTAAAAAGACTGAAAGCATACAAAACATTTGCTCTTTCCCACAATGGAATGAAGCTAGAAATCAGTAACAGAAAGGAGAACTCATAAATACATGGAAGTTAAGCAATGTATCACAAGGGAAATTAGAACCTTTCTTGAAAGAGACAAATGACCATGAAAACATGGCATGTCGAAACTGAAAGCAGTGCTGAGAAGGAAACTCATAGCTGTAGATGCTTACATTAAAAAAGAAAAAAGGTCTGAAAACAAAAACCTACTTTATACCTTAAGGAATTAGGAAAAGAAGAAAAACTAAGCTGAAAGCTAGCAGTAGGAAGGAAACAATATTACAGCAGAGAAAGAGAACAGAAAACAACAGAGAAAGCCAATGAAGTCAAGAGTTGGTTCTTCCAAAAAAAAAAATTTCAACAAAATGGCAAACCTTTAGCTAAATGCCTATGGCGGGGGAAAGAGGACGAGGACTCAACCACACAAGAGAGGCACCTTACTGCAAATATACAAAAATAAGAAGGATTATAAGTGTTCTATGAATAATTGTATGCCAACAAAATGGATAACCTAGATGAAACGGACAAATTTCTAGAAACACACAACCTACCGAGACTGAATCATGAGGAAATAGAAAGTCTGGATGGACCTATAGCTAGTAAGGAGATTGAATTAGTAATCAAATTCCTCCCAACAAAGAAAAGCCCAGGACCCAATGGCTTCATCAGTAAATTCTACCAAACATTTAAAGAATTAACATCTCCTCCTCAGACTTCGAGAAGAAAGAAGAGGGAATGTTTCCTAACTCATTCTTAGGAGGCCAGCACCACCCTGATACCAAAGCTAGACAAAGACACTACAAGAAAACTATCAATCAATATCCCTCATGAACACCGATGCAAAAACCGCCAACAAACATTAGCAGATTGAATCCAACAACACAGTAAGAAAAAGGATTATACACATCACGACAAAGTTGGATTCCCGAAATGCAAGGACCACTCAGTACATAAAAATCAGTCGATGTAATTCGCCATATTAACAGAATGAAAGGGAAAATAAATGATTCTCTCAGTTGACACAGCAAAATCATTTTGACAAAATTCAATACTTTTTCATGATAAAAACACTCAACAAACCAGCAATAGTAGGAAAATACCTCAACACAGTGAAAGGCACACATGAAATACCCCACAACTAACATCATACTCAAAGGTAAAAGACTGACAGTTTGTCCTCTAAGATCAGGAACAAGACCGCATGTCCACCTTCACTACGTGTATTGAACATAGTACTGAAAGTCGTAGCCGGAGCAATTATACGAGAAAAAGAAAGAAAAAGCATCCAAATTAGGAAGGAAAAAATAAGAGATTCAAAACTTTCTCAGTCCCACAAGTTTTTGCTTGATACAGAGCACTTTCAACTGCCGTGTTTTTATTAGTCCCTTCTACAGTTCTAAAGTTTGTCCTTTTTCCTTAGAAGGCCCCTTGCCAGTATTTCAAACCATTGCCTTTCTCATTTCCACACCAAAATATCAGACGCCAAAAAAATGTAAAGTCGTGAGTTTATTGCATATGTAACAAAATGAACCTGACCTCCCGGGTCCAGCCTGCTGTACAATCACTGTTTGTTGTGTGTTTCCAGCTGGTTCCATAACCACATTAAATAGAACTAGTATTTCTTTAAATACTTTTGATTTTGACATAAAACAGAACATTAGTGTACAATTTTCACAAAATAAATCAGGAATAAAAACAGTGGGAAGAATAACAAGGATAGCAGCAATACTTAAAAACAAGACATTACAAAATAAATTAAAAAATACATTATAAAGTGGTTGAGAAACAAAAATAAACAAATTTTAAAAATTCATACTATGTTTCGGGAAGGCTGCCGTGCGGCCCACACCTGGCTGCAGACGGGGCTGGGGGGCAGGGTGTTTTCTCTGCAGAAGGCCATTCCCGGCAGCTCAGGTTTGAGGACCACCTCACCTGAATTGGGACCATGCAGCCGAGCGAGCTTAGGGAACACAATCCACCTGGTGGGCAGACTCCCCTCAAAGAGACCTGTCCCTCCTGTCCCCCAAGCAGCCCCTTTGTTTTTCCTACCTACAGCATTGGCAGAGTGGTGGTTTGCTACATCCCTGAGGGTCGGCTGATGACCACTGGTGAGGGCAAGCCTGGAAGTTGGGCCCCTGAAGCTTCTGGGCAAAGAGGTGAGGGGAGGGGGACAGGTGGGCGGTCGGGGACTACCGCAGAGGGCGACGAACGAGAGCTCGTGGGAAACGGGGTCCACACGGACCCAAAGTGGCGCGATCAGGAGCTTTTACCAATTGTCTGCCACACTCCTCTTTGGGCGGCCCAATCCACTGTTAATGGTGAAGGTTCTAGAAGTGCAATGCCACTGACAGGCCCATTTGGTGAGAGTCAGCCCGGGCTCTGGAACGTTCTGCTCTTTCAGGCTCCACTGTGACACACAGCTGATGAGGGGGCCCACATGCAAGTGTGAGGAGAAAAGCAGAGACCCCAGCCTTACAAGACAGGAAAGACTTGCGGAGCTGACCCCGGACACGCGCGAGCAGCCTGGGGCCGGCAGGTACGCTTTCTAAGGATTGCTCCCGTTTCTCCCAACAGCAGGAAGATCGTCTTAACGGAGCCCAACTCAACACTCCCGCTAGGCCCTCGTCTCCTCACTAACTCCTGCAGATTGTGGCCAGCCCCACAGAAGAATTAGTGCTCCTTCCCACCTCAGCCTGGAGGCGTTCTCAGCTCTCCCGTGGAGGTCTCCTCCTCACGCTGTTGAGGTTCGCCTTCGAGAGGAGGCCGATCTGGGGGCAGGGCTGTAGTTGACATTTCCTCACTCTTCCAGAGGAAGATTACGAGGGAGGACTAGAGAGTCAGGGGGAGCCAGCTTCTAGAATGCCCTCACAAGGATCATGGTAAACGAGACACAAGATCAGCCCAACTGGGGCAAGGCAGAACTTCTGAAAGACCAAGCCCACGATGCAGCCTGGACTTCCTGATTGGATTTAATTCTCCTTGTGCAGCTAGTCACACCGGACATCCCCTCTATCCTGGAACCTCCATACGTAGCCCACAAGTGGCGCTCTCGCAGCTCTTGGAGCCCCCGGCCAGCAACCCAGGCCCCCCAAACCAGGCGGGCCTCTTGTTCCAAGGGGGTCTATCCCCCAAGAGCTCCCGGAGCTGCTCACGTAAGCCACAGACCGCTTCAGGGCCGACCGAAGAACCACAGCACGACGAGAAGGGTACGCAGGCCGCCAACCCCCCCAGTCCACAGGCGTTAGTGACAAAAAGCGAGTCGTCCCAAAGGCTCCTTCCAAACCCCGCTCAGGCCCACAGCTGGATGCCAACGCCTGACTCCGAAACCAACAGCAGAGTTTCAACAGTGAGTGTCTTGCTGAGGAGTTGCCCCACACTTGCCCCCCAAACCAGAAACAACAAACCCCAACGGGACAGTTTGCTGCCGCCGCCCTTCACGGAAGTCGACCTGCACTCAAACCACCTCGTTAAGATGCTGCCTGAACATCGCGGGCAAACGGGAACGCGGGGTCCAGGCCGGCTTTGGCCTCGCTCAGCACGTGAAGATGTTTGGGTGAGTGAAGCGAGCGGGGACGGTTAGGGTCGCCCTCTGACACTCGGAAGATGACCAGCGTGCGCCAGAGTGGAACTGTGTCCCTGCCCCCCCCCAGTCAGGTTTGCATCTAACAGTAAAAAGGGGGGGTTGAGTCAACGAGGTTATCCGCTCCCCCTCTCCCTTCGAGGCGAGTCCGCACCAGGCCAGCAGCTAGAACAGGCTCTTCTTTTGTTAGTTCAGCTCTCAGCAAGTTCCACACGACACTTTGTTAGTATCCAGTGACCCAGCCGACACAGAGGTGGTGCGGGAGCCCCGACCCGGGACTGGCTGCGTGGATCTGAGGCTGGTTTGGTCTGTTCTTTTATAAGCTCTGTTATGTGGTATTTTCACTGGAAAAATATCTCGAATTAGATAGATAACGTGGCAAAGGGACTCTTAAAAGGAAAGATCAGTTTTCTCTACGCAGAACAAGTTTTTCAGCCAGGATACCCTGAAACATACCCCGGGCCCCGGTCGCTTTACTCTTCCAAAAGGGAAGCACGCTTTTGATGCGGGCTTCCCGCTGCGGCGGACTTCCCCTAGACAATATGGTTATTTTTCAGTTAGAAATTCATCTGCTACCTGGAACAGGCTGCTAGGATGAGACTGGAATTTGAGCTGCTGAACTTGAAAAGGGGCCTCGGGACCGTTCTGACACAGAATAGCTAGGAGAGCTACCAGTTACAAAGCCTCAGTAAGCCAAGCTCGGTTCCAGAACTTGTGGGCTGATCCCCCTATAAAGACCACAGGGCAGTGAGCCGATCACCATATGGGTTCCAGTCAGAGCGGAATATCCTGTGTGACCGAAGCCAAATGCTAAACCTGGCTGCATTTTATTGGATGGGTGATGGAAGGGGGTGGGAGTACTGTCATAAAGGAGGAAAGTATGGGTGGGAGCCACCAACCAAAGTCCCCCTACCCCCCTCCCCAAAAGGAGGGGAGACAGCTCTTTCCCTCCGGTGATCTGGGGTTCCCAGGCCTCAGCCAGCTGCGAGGAGGCACACAGAAAGCTTGCTTTGGGTCTGGTGGTCATGAGCTAGAATCTGTTGCCTTTGGTTGCTCTTCACTCCACAGCAAAGCCACAAGTCTCCTCCACAGCCGTCAGCAGCTTCTCATAGAGCTTCTCATACGATTCATAAGGCGGAATGTCAATCCGATTAAAGCTGGAACAGGACAAAAGAGCGAGAGAGTCACTGCCGGGGGTGATCCGGATGTAGGACCTGCTTCAAGGACAAGGACAAGGACAGGCGGGAGCAGTGTATTTGTGGCCCCGAGCCAGCAGAGAGAGAGAGAGAGCGCACACCCACACACACACGTAGATAGGCAGGACGGAGCCGAGACGGGAAAGCATCTCATCGCCTTGTTGGGATAAAGAGGTGGAGGTAAGTTTTCTACTCTCCCCCCACCCCTAGTCCTCGTCTGCTTTGAAAGCAGAGATTTTTTTCATCGAACACACAGCAACATAGACCCTAAGATCTTGAAAACCAAAATTAAACCAATTACTATTTCCTGGTTATATGAGGACAAAGCTCTCAGCTTGTTTTGTTTGTTGTCTTTGGGAGAAATTACTTCTCGGTACGAGGAATACCCCCCCTTTGCAGAGAGCACTGTAATCCAGACTGGCCGGCAGTCAGATCACCACTAACAATTTATACGGCATGTCTAGCTGATCCACCGTGACTTGATCTGAGACCAAACAGGGCAGTCTGGAATATTTCTTGCAAAAACAAGCTGTATCTCAAAACTAATAAAATGTCAAATCCCTGACACTGAAATGAAATCAATAGATGAAATGAGTGATGAAATGAATCAACATTTCCCTGGGGAAATTCATTTCTACTGTTGTATTTAAAAAAAAAATACCCTTTAAGAAGGGTATTCTCTACTAACAAAAAAATATAGAATTCTGACAGAGAGGCCATAGAGTGACTTACTAAATTACAAAGGGTTGAGCAATTAAGGATGGTTTTTCTCAAGAAAGAATTGGGCTGAATGGTGTGATAGTCTTGGCGGGGGGCTTTAGCATCAGAGGGCACCTCTCACATCTGTTTTACTCTAGACACCAAACTATGAAAGGACAGAGTCTTCTGGGGAGGAAAGCAGCTGCCCAGCATCAACACGGCGTGGTTTCTGTGACGGCCACGCTGGGCGAGGCGCTGTAGCCTCCCCGTGGCCTTGGGACCGTGCAAACGTGTGAAGCCACACCCCTGGGCTCTCAATCAGGAGCCTTCCGTTACACCCCGATGCAGCTGGATGACCAGGACCTGGCTCTGCTGAACTATACATGCTGGTCTTTCGATACACGGTTTCTGAGACAAAGTGTACGTAACTAACTTGATTTTTAAACCACAAATAAATAATAACCATAGCAGATTAAGTTAAAATTTGGGGAAGAAATATTTTTCAGTACACAAGATGCATCATCATAGACTAAGTTCCAAGAAGGAAAATGGAGTCTTAGGAAGTGAACTAGTAACTCCAGATTAAAACCTACAGTTTTGGGGCATCTGGGTGGCACAGTTGGTTAAGCGTCTGACTCTTGGTTTCGGCTCAGATCGTGATCTCAGGGTCATGGGATCAAGCCCCGTGTCCGACTGTGAGCTCACTGCAGAGTCTGCTTGGGTTTCTCTCTCCCTCTTTCTCTCCCGCTGCTCTCACGCATGCTCTCTCTAAATAAGTCTTTAAAATAAAATAAATAAATAAAAACTATAGTTTTTGGGGTGCCTGGGTGGCTTGGTTGGTTGAGCATCCAACTCTTGATTTCAGCTCAGGCCACGATCTCAGGGTCATGAGACCGAGCCCCATGTCACACTGACCATGGAGCCTGCTTAAGATTCTCCCTCTGCCCCTCCCCACCCCTCGTGCATACACACATGCGCTCTCTAAAAAATAAAATAAAAAAATTTAAAAACTAGTCTTCCTACTGAGAGGGACGTGTGCTCACGCACGCACATGCAAGACCCAGTGAAGGTAAGACTGGAGCTGCTGGAGCGCCAGCCAACAAGAATCCCATCTCACAACACAAGTGGTTTCACAACAGAGACGTCTGATAACCCTCCTGTGACCCACGCCGAGTGCTTGTTCCATCGGCCACCGGGGCCATCGCCAGTGGTCCTGGGATGCTGATAAGGGAAGCAGAGTGCTCCACAGAAGAAAAGAGCTTAGACAAGCCCCGCGAAGGGCGGCACGTCGTGGAGACAGGCTCCCAGGGGACGGGCCTTACCAGGTGTGGGCCTTCGGAAGGTTGTCTGTGTTGGCGTCGATCAGGTGGATGGTGAAGAGCCGGGGCCCTGCTGCGCCTGTAGAACCTTACGAGAAAACATTCTAGTTAATGCACGTCAGAGGCAGGGCCCAGGCCCCACTGCCAGCCACACCCTCAGCCCCGTGCCCAGGCGGGCCGTCCTGCCGGAGGGTCACACACAGACTTCGCGAGGTAGCATGAGCCTCCACCTGGCTTAGCGTGTGCCATCCAGGGACCTGTACAAGACGTTCTAGAGAACCACAGGGGCAGAGCGAAGACTGGTGAGAATGCTCCTCCTGTCTCCTCCCCCACGCAGGTGGGGGTATCTGAAGGGTAAAATCCTTAAAACTACCAGTGATGCGTTTTTTGTTGTTGTGTTTTTATTTTTTTTAAACAGAAATTTTTAGCAAGCAGACCCACTCCTGGCAGAGGCAGCAGAGTTCTAACAAGAGCAAGATACAGGGTCACGAAATCTCCCCAGGCAGAGGTACGATGGGAAGAGGAAAAGACATAAACACCTGGGACAAAAGCCCAAGGGGATGGAAGGAACTTCTGTCACTCCTTATAAGAAGTCCTTGGAATACGGAAAAGTCTACCGGGAATATTCTCTATGTGAAATATATCTGCTATCACTATTAATATGCAAAATTCCATTTACTAAGTCTTAATATACTATTATCATTCAACTTTTTCCTTCCGGCTCTCAGGGTTATCAAAAATCTGGGTATCAGATTTTTTTTTATCACAGTTGGAAGGGACGAGAGACAGGATGCATACCCATCAGTGGAGCCCATCAGGCAGTGCATTTACACAGAGGACGAAACTGAGGCCCAGGGAGGACCCCTGGCACTAATGACCAACACGGTAGCCAGAGACTCCATCTCCTGATGCCCAGGCCAGGCCACTCTCTCCCTCACTCAGGACGCAGTGAGAAACGAATCCACAGTGCATCTAAAAACTCTTGACTTCTTTCCCAAAGCCTTGCCAGCGGGACGCGCCTAGGGGAGATGCGTGGGGCCAGGAGCCCCGCCTCCATGTCAGTCACCTTGCAAAGCCTTGAAGCCTTGGAGAGGGACCCGAGTGGACCCGGTCACGAACTGCAGGAGTCTGGCCCTCCTCTCCTCGTCGAAGGTCTCCACAGCCTGCCAGAACCACCGGACGATGTTGCTGTCGGCCACACAGTGCTTCAGCCGAGTGTTGGACTTCCAGTCGCTCACGTCGATCTTATCCAGGCCACCAATGATCAGCTGGGAAGGCGTGCAGCAGCGAGTTAGTTCTCAAACGTACGAACCAGGGTCATGACCCGCCCCACCCGGTAGTTCCCAGGACACGACAGGAGGGAATTTATCGTGCCCGAAGAAACAAGCCCCAGACGTGGATAAGCAGGGAGATCAGCAGTGTGCCCAATGCTGCCACCCCAGGCTGCTTTCCGACCCCCCAGCCCGGGGGTTTTCTTACAAGCACGTCTGCGTTCGCGGTGTTGCACCGCATCAGCGAGGAGTCGGTATGAAAGAAGCAACTGGCAAGACCAAAGGGGCGGACTATAAAACGGGGCCACATCCCAGGGACTTCGAGGGCTGGGACAGGCGGAGCTCGAAGGCTGAGCGGAGGGACCGTGGCGGGAGTTGTGTGCATGTGTCTGCCCGGGGCGGGAGGCGCCTCACCGGGGACAGAAAGACAGAAGGATTTCGCCGCCCTGAGCCATTTGGCATCGGCGGTGGGTAAGAGATGAATGAACCGCTATGTTCAAGCACATGCAGTGTGATTAAAGGACATAATAACACTTTGTTCCAAGGCTAATAATAGCCAGAACAAAAACAGAAAGCTGACGTTCTGGGAGAATCTGGTTATATGCGAGATAATTTCCTCGACCCGAGGTGACTACACAGGAGGGGGTTAGGAACCTCCACTGCTAGAGATTCTGAAAAATAGGATAAGCCACAGAACACCCTGCACCCTGCTGGCTGCCGCCAAGCAGAGAGACACCTGGCCTGATCCTCAACAGGCTCAGATGTCCTCGACGCCCCGCTCGCTCTAGCCCTGTTATCCTGGAGCCCCCAAAACCCCTGGCCTTGCTGGGGAACAGGTGAGCCTCACTCTGCTGCCGTGCGTAAAACAAGAAAACACTCATCACATTCACGACCTTGAATGTGGACTTGGCTCGGCCCAGTGAGCACGTACCTCTAGTTCCTTCTGGTCAAAAGGCTTCAGCAAGTGTTGAGGAATGAGTTCATTAAACCCCTTCTGAAGAGCTAAGAACTGGGCTTCGATCCCTCTCATGAACCTCCAGTTTACATACAACCTGAAAGACAAATTCGCAAGTTGGAGGCAATACAAATGGTTCACGGGAACAACTTTTCCTCCGTAGTGGGTTCTGCCATCATCTGCTGAACCTAACGCCCTGCCGCCAGGCCTCGGGGGGGGGGGGGGGGGGTTGGCAAAACCCCCAACAGCTGGTAAGACCGGGTTAAAAATAAGTCAGCACAGGCTTGACACATTCTGATGCTTTACTAAAAATAGGACTAGGAATTAACCTGACGTATTACAGCAGGTGCCATCATTTAAAAAAGTAGATTTAGGGGCGCCTGGGTGGCTCAGTCGTTAAGCGTCTGCCTTCGGCTCGGGTCATGATCCCAGGGCCCTGGGATCGAGCCCCGCATCGGGCTCCCTGCTCCGCGGGAAGCCTGCTTCTCCCTCTCCCACTCCCCCTGCTTGTGTTCCCTCTCTCGCTATGTCACTGTCAAATAAATAAATAAAATCTTAAAAAAAAAAGTAGACTTAAAAATAAGATACGAGGCTGCTGGGAGAGCCACACACCAGTCTGGCCGCCCAAGCACTCCAACGCACCCATATGCTTCCGGATTTCCAGTGTAAGTGACATGTCATTTCTCTGCCGTCAGAGGTGGGACCACAATGGAGGAGACTTCCTTGAGCCTGAGCTCAAGGAAACTTCTAGGCTCCACTTCTCTCCTGCACTCACCACCTTCACACCCAGAATCAGGAGGCCACTTGGCAATCCCTTCCGCCACTTGGGCTCGGGGGTCATTATTGTCCCTTCAACAGGTCAGGCCTGGTGGCATCGGGCCTCCTCCATGCAGAGCTCCCACTGCTGAACCCGACAGTTCAGTTATGTGATTCTGGTCACACATGCTGGTGGGGACAGGGAAGCCTCTAACAGTGAAGGAGTCTTGACCATCTAAATGTGGACCCAGCCATGCCCAGGACGGTCCCGGGCACCCGGAGGCCCCATCAGCGGCCACCAAGGTTCCCTGGAACATTACCGGACATATTCTTTCTTGTTCTCCTCTGTGACAGGAACGTTTCGGCCATTGGGTTTCAATTCATGCTGAAGAATCCTCCCGAAAGCATTGTGTTCCACACAAAAAGTGTGGTCCAGCACAGGGGTGATATCGTTCTCTCTGTCGAAGTTAGGACAGAAGATGGACGTCAGATCTTTGCCGCAAGGCAGCAGGGAACAGAACAGGAGCGGGAACAATCCGGGGCACAGACAGACAGACAGATGGCATTTACTGACTAACACCCCGGAACTGCAGGAGGGAGAAGAGAGGAGCCTCAGGCAGTCACAGAGCCTGTGCCCGGGCAGGGGGGCAGGCCCTGGGAGGAGCCGGGGGACCCCAGCTCCACATCCAGATGGGCCCTTGACTCTCGGCTTCCCCCTTCGCAGGATGGTGACGGAAGCTCTACCATTCTGTGATCTTACGAGACACAGTGACCTGATTGCTTTGTCAACTGAGTCTCTGAACGGAAGGGAGGGGTTCACGAAGAGTCAGCTGAGTCAAAGGAAAAGCAACCTGCAGGGAGACACACCTAGACGATACGGTCCCCTTTGTAAGGCAGCCATTCACACAGGAGCACTCGAGAGTTCAGACGGACTCTCCGCCTGCCGTGCTTCTTGAAACAGAGTGAAAGATCTCCTATGGGCGGAGGCCCTACCCCTCGCAGGCTACCCGTTCCCAGCCGGGACCGCGGGCCAACAGCGCAGGACGCAACTGAGTTCAGGTCCTCGGCACGTCCTCCCTCTGCCACAGCCTGTGTCTCTCGCTCCCATGGAATCAGCCCACTGACAAGGACCTGCGACACCCACGGTCACCGTGGAACGGGGCCAGCTGCTTTCAAGAGCATTTTAGGAGAATTCTAAAACAAAGGTGACTAGAATTTTTCCTGATCCTTTTCTCGTATCAAATGTTTTGACATAAGGTACCTCGATACTAATTTTGTTTTTGATACTTTCCCTCCAGAGATTAACTGGAGACCCCCTAGAGAGTCAAAAGCAAACCACCCACCTATGACACTCGGGGGACTAACACTTGTGATCCTTCCTTAATAATTTGAGGGGACAACAAAAGAAATCAGTCTATGAAGTGAAACTGGCCAAACATGAACATTAAGTCAACTGAGTATTTCTTATTCAATCTACTTTTACGTTTCTGGTTGTAAAACAGCATTTTCTTTCTCTTCTCCAACTTCACACCCACCCCTCAAAAACATTCACATGCACGCACACACGCATACAGACAATTCTATCCGGTGTACAAGGCGGTGGCCGTGCATTAACTGAACAGCGAGGCTGTACTTACAGAATCCATACTAAGCTCTTATGTAATTCTGGGTCCACCGATTCCAAGTCCGAGAGCTGGATGGGTTTCCCCAGTAGCTGCTTATAGAAGGGAACCGTGAAGCCCCCATTTATGTAGTGGCCGTGGAACACGGCGAGACCCATGATCCGGCCCACAAAATGGAAGTAAGACAGATGGTCCTGTAGGGGGCACCAGAGAACACGAATTCAGTAGGAAAAGGCCCAGCCGAAGTGGATACCTTTGTGCTTTCTCCAAGCTTCTTGGGAGAACGAACTGTCCCATCTAACTCGGTTGGTTACTCACAGGTTGTGCTCACGGATGGAGGAAAGAAGGCTGGTCAGGCAGTCAAAACCCAGAGCACGTCTTTATAGATCATCTGAGTATGTGATAGGCCCCTAATGCAAACACCTCCTCGGGATTGCTACATCATCCGTGGCACTCAGTGTAAAAGGAAAATGCAGAACCCCTTACTCAAAAATTAAGAATTCAAAGGGCAGCTGCAGACTCAAACCAAGCACAGGCCCTTCTAAGTGCAGGGCGCCCAAGTCCACTGCATTACCGAGAAAGAGAGTGGAGGGCAATTCCCCTCCTTCTACCATCCCTCCCGAGTCCCTGGAGAAAGTGGAAGAGAAAAAACCCAAAGAAGGAAGAAAAAACAAAAAAGGAACATAGAGGAAAATTCTCTGCACATGAAGCAGAAAAACCAGAGCTGTTCTGGTTTTTAACGGGGAAACACACATCTCTGCTTTCAGTCGGAATTAGAATCAGAGTTCATCAAAACCTCATTGCCATCTTGGTAAAACACTCTGTTCTGTCACATCTGAATGCCTGTAGAGGAGAGCTGGTCCCAGACTTTGCCTCAGGGGCCGTGGGCCCAGCAGCGGTGACCACGGGACACAGCCCCACGGGGAGAGTCCTCCACGAGCACTCGTGGCCAAAAAGGCCAATCATGGAAAATTCCAATTTTGACTGGGAGGAGGATGGACTTCATAGCCCACGTCTCAGAATGACACGGTCAACAAATACAGTCCTCATACCTCGGATCCCCCAACTGGCAATACAGGGCTTTGAGTATTCTAAGCAGCTCAGTTTCACTCTTGCTGTCTTTGAAAATAACATAACCAGTGATTCCCAGGCACAAAACACACAGGAGAGAAATCATCCATCTTAATCCAGTTCCACTCTCCTTTTCAGTGTCTATTTACCAGAGACTCTGAGTAAGTCTACAACGAGTAGACCAAGGATAGAGACCAAACCTGAAAATCTATTTAAAAAAATGCTCCAATATGCTCCCTCTTTATTCGTGAATACTTACGGGGTTGATTGAAGAGTCTGGGTTGATCTGCAACATGTAAATGTTGTCCGTAGAATACTGGAAGAGTCCATAGTACGGATTCAACATTTCATGGCACAATAAATAAAGCCACTCCCTAGGAACAAAAACAATGAAAGTCATTTTATACGTGCGGAAGTGTCCGGTCTTCTGTCTTACCAAAAGGACTGATTCCCTGAGCCCTGGAAGGCCCCACTGGCAGGATACCCTGCTCTGAGAGAAGGTGACTTGCACAGACTGGGAAGTAACAACTTGCTTCTGGTCGAACGAGAGATGGCTTTCCTGGCCCAGATCCCCCACAGCTCTGAAGCTGAGGAAGACCCATGGTGGACTAGAGTCAGGACCGCCTCCCAAGGGCAGTGTTCTCAACAGTTACCTTGTCACCTCAGCTAAGATTTTCTCTGCTACTGTGCAAAGGTCCACATCTCAGGTGATGATGTTCATGATGAGGTAATAACGGACAAAAGTACAAGAGATCCTACTTTTATTTTTAAAAGAGTGTGCATGCGCGCACATATACACAAAACAGGAAAGATATCTACGCAAAGAGAAAGAGGAGGAGGATTTACACTGATACACTGACAGTAATTAACGAGAATTAGCATTCTGGGGCATTTGCAGTTTTCTTTTGCTTCTTTCTAGAAAGTTTTTAAATTTCCAGTTGTAACATGTTATCAACACTTAAGTGAGGAGAAGATATTTCACAGTGTGGGAACATGGATTAAGAACGATTTTTGCCCTTCATAATCTTCTATCTTGTCGAATTCTTATCTTTTGCCATAAACATTTATTGCTTTTTTTTTCTTTTGAGAGAGCGAGCACAGAAGCATGGAAGGGGCAGAGGGAGAGGCAGAGAGAGAATCCTAAGCAGGCTCCACGCCCAGCAGAGAGCCCAACGTGGGGCTCGATCTCACCACCCTGAGGTTGTGACCTGGGCCAAAATTAGGAGTCGGACACTCAACCGACTGAGCCCCCCAGGCGCCCTGACATTCATTGCTTTTATAATTTAAAAAACAAGCTTAATACTTACTAAGATTAATTCTAATGGTTCTAAAATCTGGATGGGAAATCTAAGAATAAATTATTTTCAGAATTCCTGTATATTCCAATCATTTCATTATATAAAAAAAAAAAAAGCCCCAAATCAGAAACCATCAAACAAAACAAGCATTCTCAATAGAATCTGTAGGAATCTGGGGAAAACATGGGGAAAACCATACACAAGCACCTGCGGCACTTCTTAAAAAGACTCTTTTCTTCTTTCTATTCAAAATTCCTTTCAAATGGATAAATTTCATTAAGATAAACAGCCCCAAGTTCTATTCTGGAATTTCTTACTCTGTCAAATAGAAAAGGCAGAGAATTGAGAAACATTATGAAAGGATAAGCACATGTGCAAATAATCCAAGAACACTGTGAGAATACACAAAAAAAGATCAGACCACAACAAAATTATGTATCAAACTCAAAAGAACAGAAAGGAAGTGCTGGAAGCAATGAGACTCCAAATGTTACAAAATTCTTTACTAGAAAGGCAGAATTCCCCAGCTGTAAGACCTGGATTCATCCCCAAGTTTTAGAGTTTGGGTTTGAGAAGAGTCATTTTCAAAAGCCAAGGACCTGCAACTGTCTAGACAGGAAATGATTAAAACACAAGCAAACATTCTGACCGCGTCACGCACGAGGTAGGGAGGCATATTGGGTATGTTAAAGGAAGTGGTAAGGGGAGAGCTACCTATACAGGCAAAATGGTTTTTTAACAATACAGGAAATGGTTCAGAACCAAACACTGCGGAAGTGAGTGTAGACTGATTTTCATCGACCAGATAATGAATGCAGGCACACACACGGGATTTAAATCTCTCCATAGCTCTCCGAGATAGGTCTGATCCCCTGTAGACGTGAGGAAGGATCCGAGGGGTGAAACGGTGCAAGACCCAACTGGAGGCAGGAAAGCCAGGACTCACAGCTCTTTCCACTAGAGCACCGTGTCAACCAAGGGAGCTCCCCGAAGACCTCTCCACGTGGAAGACTTGATAAAAACGGGATATGCGGAAGGAACAGAACTCCTACCACGCGAAACCAAGCTATTCACATGCGTGCCTAGGAATATGTGATACCAGCCATGCAAAGGAACAATGGTAGGTTGGAACAGTTCAGGATACTGAATTTCTCAGACTATACAGGAAATAGCATAGAAGAGAAAATGCAAGTAGTCTGATTTGAACTGTTGGGGCAAATATGAATATATAACTAGGAAGATTCTCAGCTACAAAGAGGGACAGAAAACCTAATCCTCTTGCCCAGAGACAGAATTTGTGTTATCAAGGGCAAACAGAAGTTACGTTTGCCAAAAGAAAGATGGTTTCTAGCATCAAGATTGAGAATTTCAAGGAAGAACCCTGGGATAGTCTTGAAAGGAAAAATGTTTCCCATGGAGAGCTGGCGCTGATGTGAGCTCACTGCTAGGCAAACGCATGCCTTTCTGCACCCTTTATCCCCGGTGGACTTGGCAGGAGGGTGGGAGGAGGGCAGAGACAGGCAGTGGGAAAAAGGTGGAAGAATGATTCTATCCAGGGCCAAAGGGCAGATCGTGACTTCTTGCTTTTTAATTCTTTTGGCTGCTGAAAAAAAGTCCCAGCTCTACCCAGAAACCAAATGAGGCCACTATTTATAATGCTTGTCAGAACATAATTTTTCTTGGGGTAGCTGCTGTAGGGCTGAGAATTTGCCCTAAATGGAGAGCGTGTGACTTTGTCCTGTCCCCTGACTTCCCAAGACACAGGGGCCTCCTTGGTAGCCTCTACCAGAGCTGGGGTTTTAGAATTACTTGTGTAATTCTTTCATTAATGTCTGTACCTCATGAGATTGAGAACACATTTGGATGGGGACTTTGGAGGGGTGAAGGGGGCAGAGAACACGTTACTTTGTTCACTATTGTATCCCTAGTGCCTAGTACATGGTGGAGTCTTGACATTTAATGGTTAATGAATAAACACAATTCTTACAAGAGCATACAAATTATAGGGGTGTTCTTGAAGAAGATTCAGTCATGTGAAGACTCCGTCATAGATGACAGATAATTTAATTTTCTCATTTTATATTTTGTTACCATGGAATCAATAAATGAGTATGTTACGATTACATAAAAAGATAAAAAAGTGCCAGAGCAATGCGGCCACTATGAACAACAGTATGGAGGTTCCTCCAAAAATTAAAAACAGAAATACCGTGTAATCCAGTAATTCCACTACTGGGTATTTACCCAAAGAAAATGAAGACACTAATTCAAAAAGTCTTAAGCGCTCCTATGCTTACTGCAGCATTATTTACAACAGCCAAGATATGGAAGCAACCTCAGTGTCCATAGACAGACGAACGGGTAAAGATGGGATGTACACACACCAGGGAATGTGAATCATAAAAGATGATGAGATCTTGCCATTCGTGACCACATGGATGGACCCAGAGGGTATGATGCTGAGTGAACTAAGTCAGATAGAGAGACACAAATACCATATGATTTCACTTACACGTGGAATCTAAAAAATACAACAAACCAAACGAACAAAGCAGAAACAGACTCGTAAAGACAGAGAACGGATGGTTGCCGGAGGTAAGGGGCCTGGGGAAGGGGCCACGAAATGGGTGAAGGGGGGTGGGAGGTGCAGGAACGAGGCAGAGTCACGGGGAGGAAAGGCACAGCAGAGGGTCACGGTCGGCGGCTGGGCGGCAGCGCTCGCTGCACGGTGACAGGTGGCGGCCACACCTGTGAGCAGAGCGTAAGCGTTTATGAAACCCTGTGTTGCACACCTGAAACTGAGTCACACGTGTGTCAAGTATACTGCAATAAAACAACTCGGGGATGAGCAAGTGAAAATAAATAACTAGACTGCTCAGAACCACCACTTCTGTTCACATTAAGAAAACATGCTGACGCACTGGAAGTCGGAATCTCCCAGAAGCAGGGGGAAAACAAGCCAAGACGGGAAATAAAAGAAAAAGAGGAGAGACCGGAACCGTCCAACCAGGGAGTCCAGCTCGGAGTAACAGGCACTTCAGCAAGAGCAAAGCAGGGAAACGGAGGGGAGGAGATCCCGTGAGCAGGAAAAAGCCGCTACTTCAGTGGACCCTTGTCGAGAGGGGCTCTTCTGGGAACTGGGGACTTGGCGAGGACAGGACTGCTCCCGAGTGCACAGGCCATGCAGGCCGGGGCCACAGGGGACGCAGGGAACTCGGGGGCAGGGAAGGACCCTGGGGGGAACGTGTGAGCAGACCCCAGAGAACAGAGGGAATAAGCTACGTGACAATCTCAGGACACTCTAGGCAGAGGGGACATGAAGGCAAAGGCCCGAGGCAGGCCACGGCGAGTGCAGCGGCCGGAGGGCAGAGGCCATGGGCCAGGCCTGGGTGCACCTGTGGGGTGTTAGCTAGGAGCTTGGGCTCAGGGGAGGACCGTCAGAGTCTCCAGAAAGCTGGCGGTGGCCTATGCAGGACCGTGAGAAGCAGGGGGGTAAGGGGGGGGCGGCAGAGGGGCCACAGGTGGTCTGGGCAGGGCTCTCTGCTGAGGACCACGGATGGATCTCTGGGAGGTGACAAGGGAGGAGGCGAGGGCGGGCTGGGCACCGAGGAAGGAGAAACAAGAAGCTAGTATGAGGGGGCCATCAGAGATTCGGGACCATTAGGTTTAGGAGGCTTTACAAGTCCCTAAGAAGAGCCCAGGACAAACAGGTGTTGAGGGGAGCGAGGGGCGGGGTCCAGGCGCAGAGACGGAACCCAGGGCGCACTCAGGCAACCCCGGGACTGAGCCAGGGGCTGCTGATGCTCCGGGGTGAGGAGCACCCGCAAAGGGGACTGGCAGGAGGCAAACAGAGAGAGGGTGGTGTCCCAGAACCAAGTGGCAAAAGTGCTTGGAGAATAGGGAGTGACCAACGATGTCAGGTGCTGCTGACAGAGCAGGACAGATGAAGGCCGCAGAGTCATCGTGGGGTCGGGGGGGAACCTCGACCAAGGAGCTTCAGAGGGCAGAAAGGTTTGCTGGGGAGAGTGGGAGGGGGTGTGGAGAGGAGCGAAGGATGCGGAAGCAGGGCTGGGGAGGCGCACAACTCTCGCGAGGGGTTCTGCTCCAAGGAGAACAGAGAAACAGGTCAGTGGCTGAGGGAGTAGTGTTGAAAAAATTTGTGTTTTTCCTGGAACTTCTCATTGCTTTTCTTTTTACTTTGCTCTATTTGCCTTTAGTGCCTCCTTAAAGCGTAGACAGGGAGGGGATACAGTGTCCAGCGAAGGTCTGGGGGGCGTGTTTGTTTAAGAAGGGAGTAGTTGTAGCGCATGCATATGGAGATGAGACTGATCCGAGAGAAAGGAACATTCTGAGGAAGTGAGACAGATGCGAACAACAGTAGGAGCACGAGGACCTGGCTGCGTTGTGCGAGGGGCAGGGCCGCTCTTCTATGGGCACACACCTGGGCCATTCAGGGCCACACAGGGCATATGGGGCCCCATGGGTCTAGATGCTGGCAGACTGGATATTTGGTGGCAGTGAGGAAATACTCGCTACTTTGCTTCTGGGTCCTCAGTTAAAGTGAAGCGAAGTCAGCAGCTGAGAGGGAAGCTGGGCGGGAGCGAGGGAGAGGTCTGAGGACGCGTACAGCGGGGAGGCGAGAGAAGCATCGAGAGAAGCAGAGCATGGCTGCAGAGGCCGCTGAGGCCTCCCGGAGGCTGGCGTCCCTAAGGGGGAGAGAGGCCAGCAGTGTGGCGCCCATCTTCCTCCAGCTACCCGCCGCCGCTCAGCCGAGGCTCGGCAGCCCCGGGATGGGACTATTGGAGGTTTTGCTGGACAAGTGCAACAAATGGAAAGAGGAGCAAGGGAGTGATGATGGTGGTGGGTTACATCTCAGCAGGAAGTAAGGAAGGGAAGGGGGGAGAAAAATAGAAAAGAGGCAGTAGACTCTGGATGATGGGTGGTCCTGAATGGGGCTAAATTACTTCTGGTGAAGGAAGGACTAAAATCAGGTTGTCATCAGACCACCCGCTCAGTGACACTAGGTGCGGGAAGACAGGACAGCAATGTTTTCGAAGGTATGAATGAAAATTACTTTCTTGGGGCGCCTGGGTGGCTCAGTCGTTAAGCTTCTGCCTTCGGCTCAGGTCATGATCCCAGGGGTCCTGGGATCGAGCCCCGCATCGGGCTCCCTGCTCTGCGGGAGGCCTGCTTCTCCCTCTCCCACTCCCCCTGCTTGTGTTCCCTCTCTCGCTGTGTCTCTCTCTGTCAAATAAATAAATAAAATCTTAAAAAAAAAAAAAAAAGAAAGAAAGAAAGAAAGGACAATTACTTTCTTCCTAGAAGCCTATAAAAAAAAGCAAACTATTAAAGTGCAAATTAACAGACCTTGGAAGATTCACCTCCCACAGGCCCTTTCTAAGAAAGCTACTTCAGGATATACTCCGGTAACATGAGGGAGTAAACCAAGGAAGAGGAAGCTATGGGATCCACAAATCAACGCTCTGACCTAGGAAAGCAGCAAAGGCCCATGACGATGATGGTGCAGAAGGCCCAGAGAACCGGACAGTTCTGAGAGACACACAGAAGAAGCGGGCAAGTGGGGGGTGGCAAAAGATGAAGCTTAATGGGGCAATAAAGACAAAGCCTGGTTTTAAAAAAAAAAAGACAAATATGAAGAAATTCTTGGAAAAATTAAAATTTGTTCAAAAGGCTAAAATAAACTCTAGAATACCACTTAACACCTCAGAGAACAATATTTACATGGTCATGATAATATAAACAATGTACTGATTTTCAACTCTTAAAAATAATAGGTAGACAAGCACAGGCTACAGAACAGACTATGAACCCTCAACCTTGACGATGCAAAAGCATGCCAGATGCCAGGATGTAGGAGGTAAAGGGGGAAGGATTCCTGAAGGGGAAGTCAGGAGGACTTATGTCCTTTTTGCTTTTGAAAAGAGAGGTCAAGAGATCATGTCTCTAGTTGACAAACCAAAAATAATGGTGAAAACACAGTATGTAGAGTTACAAAGACAATGACAGAAGATCTACAAATGGCGACAGCACCAACCTCAGAAGTGAGAGTATTAAATTAGATCCTCACCACAAGCATTACCCAGTCTGTGTCTATGACTATACATCCTGAAGTCAACGCATAATGTCTGAACTTGGCCAATTTAGTGACATAACGTTACCTATTAGAAGAGAGAGTTAAAAGAGCAAAAAAGGCAGTTGTCTCAAAGGTGTAAAGAGGTAAGATGGGAAATAACCGTTTTTCATTCTTCTATTTTTAAGATGATTTGCATGAATGATTTTGACCGAGGCACTTTGCAAAATTCCTTTGACACCAGTGGCCCGAAAGTCCTCTCCTAGGAAAAGCAAGGCTGCTTCGCTCCCAGATTGATTTCAGGAGCAGGTCCCTCGTGTTTCAGGTTCAGAGCTGCTAGATGAAGTGGGGGATGGGGAGGGTGGTTGAAAAGTTGAAACCTATCTTTCCAAGAAGTAAATTCCCAATGAAGGAGATGTGCCTTCTGGTGGCTGTGACACAGCCTTGTTCCCAGGAGCACGGAAGGCCATGCGGGGGTCCTGACTGCCCCAGGACAAGCGCCCTCGAAAACCTCCCGTCCTGGCGGCCCAGAGCCCCGCGCAGTAGCAAGTGGGGCCACCCCAGCTCCTCACCTCGCCACTCCGCCATAATCCAAACCTTCTTCTCCCCGGAACTTCACCATCAGCCGCTTCTTCAGATCCTTCGGCCGCATCTTCATGATCTGGCGGTAAGACTCCTGCTCAGCAAAATGACAGTGTCAGAAGAACAGGTGGCATTCTTAAGAGTTCTAGAAAGGTGAAAGGTGTCGGTGATGGAGCCCGAATCAGGATGCACATTCATTTAAATCCGAGTCTGATCTGGTTCCCATTCAGAGTGCTGATTCGGTGTCCCGTATGCAGCAGTTCGTCACCTGATCTCCCCAGGTCTCCCTCAGAAACGACAAGGCAGCCCGTGCCGGGCGAAACCACACCGAAAGGACACACACACCCCCATTGTCAGCACAATCACTAAAGGCTTAAGAGCAAACATCCTCACTACAGCCCATGTTCTCCACACAATTTAATTTTAATGTGCCATACTAAGAATAGCTTATATATTTTAGGTTTTTTTTTTTAAGATTTTATTTATTTATTTGCCAGAGAGAAAGAGAGAACCCACAAGGGCGGGGGGGGCAGCAGGCAGAGGGAGAGAGTGAGGGAGGCTCCCTGCTATGCAGGGAGCCCGATGCGGGGCTCAACCTCAGGACCCTGAGATCATGACCTGAGCCGAAGGCAGACGCTCAACCAACTGAGCCACCCAGGCATCCCAACTTACATATTTTAACCAAAATGAAGACATCCCTAGAGGATCTGAAGAGTAAAAGAATTCTGAGCCTGTTTTTATATCTGAGGTGAAGAGTCACATGATTTGCACGGAGTCAAAAAAGCAAAAAAAAAGGGTTTAAGTAAGACATAGAGTAGCTTACCCAAAACACAGAACAGGTGGCCAGCCCAGCCTTCCCTCAGATTCAGTCTTTTGAGTGGAACTCGCTAAATGTTTGTAGATATTTTCAATGATAAGGCACTTAAGAATCTTTTCATGCTTTAAATGTAATTCAAGCTTTAGCACCCAAGAGGGAAAGAGGACACTGAGTGGAAATGATCTGGCAGCAACATGTCAATAATTCAGCACTTTCCTCTCCCCAGCAACCATTTAAGACTGCTCAATGGCCATTTTGGCCGATCTGTCCGTATCACCCAACACTGGCTGAGCTCGGGTGTCGAGCCTGGCCCTGGGCACTTACTCAGTGCCCATCACCGGGAAGATCTCACTGGGCTCCCTACAGCCCCCGGCCTCGCCCTCCGTGCCCCTCCCCCAGCCACTGCAGCCCAGTGGGGATCTGAGTTCAGTTCTTATCCAGTCGCCTTTGATCACTTCTGCCAGTGGTTCCACAAAGGCAGGCAGGATATGGCCCAAACATCACTGAGATTTTACCTTCTGATCAGAGGGGTCGCCTGTTTAGTGGTCTTGATCCCACCGGGGAGCTGTATGAAGGACAGAACCCTGATTTTCAGGAACCACCTGATCTTCCTATTTCCAGAAAACACATTAAAAATATGGTGGCCAGTTGGTCACTAAGCTTCTCGGAGGAGGCAAAGCCATTGGGTGAAACTCTGTGTAAGACAATGTAAGGAATGATTGGTTCTAAAGAAACCATGCAGATTGCGGGAATATATAATCTGCACAGAGCAGATAAGAGGATTGACAGTATTATTTAGTACTAGTTTCCATATAAATCTCTTTATTTTCACTTCAGAAGTTCTTGAGCTTTTAAACTCCTACCTAAGGAGAAAATAGTCTCTCTGTGGCCATTCGTCCTGAAAGAGACCTACAATTTGCTGAGTAATAAAATCAAGACCTTGATCCTGGAGTCCCGGGATCGAGTCCCACATCGGGCTCCCTGCTCAGCAGGGAGTCTGCTTCTCCCTCTGACCCTCCTCCCTCTCATGCTCTCTCTCATTCTCTCTCTCGCAAAATTAAAAAAAAAAAAATCAAGACCTGAAGGGGCACCTGGGTGGCTCAGTCGGTGAAGCGTCTGCCTTCAGCTCAGGTCATGATCCCAGGATCCTGGGATCAAGTCCCATATCGGGCTCCCTGCTCAGCGGGGAGCCTGCTTCTCCCTGTCCTCCCCGCTCCTGCTCTCTCTCGCTGTCTTTGTCTCTCTCTCAAATAAATAAAATCTTTAAAAAAAAAAAAAAATCAAGACCTGAAACACCAAACAGAAAGAACTCACTGTCTGTTAACAGGGTTGAACAGTCTATGCCTCACTGCTGGTTGCACTGAATCCCATACCTCAAATATTTCTTCTCTGGATACTTCGATGCGGCAATGACCGGCTTGGGGTTGCTGAAGTGAAAGTTCGTGTCTGAGGACCTTCAGCTTCTGGACTAAATCTCTTTCATATCTCTGGGCAGGAAGCTCCTCGTCTTCCACAGAGCCCTCGCTGGGCAATGGCAGCGGCTGGCTGGGCTCCTTTAGTTGGCACTGGTGACTTGAGGAGAAGACAAGCATCAAGGTCACTCCAAAAGCAGCGGCCAAGGGAGCTGCAAGCAAGGGCCCCCCCATACCAAGCAACTGAGAGTTCATTACACAGAACTTCAAGAAGAAATGTTCTCTCTGCTGACATAACCACGTACAAAGATACGTAAACACTGACAGTGTCCACCACTGGCCTAAATAGAGAAGTCTAGATATGTCCTAAGTCACGAAGATACCCCAATTCCAAGCCACTGCTTATCCCACACATCCTCACTGCTGTAAATAAAAGCAGAAATTGTGATCATTTATCATGCATCTAGTATGTCTCTGAGAGACTGACTGATGCACTAGGAGATGTGCCTCGGTGGCTAGAATTGCATGGAGCTGACACGAAAAATTTCACAAGCTGATTATCATAAAGGGGGCAAACAACGCGAGAGCAGTCTACTGGGAACCATTCCTCAGTTTCACAACCAAGACATTTCTAAGCCCACTCACAAAATTCCAGTAAAATCAAGGACTAGGAGGAGCAGAGGGATGAAGTGGCACTTCTGCCCCTAAGGTCGGCTGTCAATGAAAAGGGCTACGTGGGCTCTTACATTCTAGAGAACACGACAAGCCCGGGACACTGAACGTGGGATCCAAGGTAACTCCCAGTTCCAAGTTGTCCGGGAATGACGGGCACAGGAAAAGGCTCCGGTGAGGAGCACTGCCGACTACGGCAGCCCTCCTGGGTGGTGACGAGCAGGCACTAAGGAAAAGCCTCATTTCACTGCCCCTCGCTCTAAGGGCCATGCACTCCTCAGAGAGCCACGTGTGGAAGCTTCGAGAATGGAGCTAAGACTGCCCTTTGGGTGAATTTCATTGAGGCTGCAAGCAAGAAAAGGGGGCAACGATACAGCTCAGAACAGCTCACAGCTTACTTGAGAGCTTGAGATATGCACCTGTCCACCAATTGTTTATCATATTTTACTTAACTTATTCTCCACTAACACACAAGGCAGTAGATAAATTAAGAGAAATATTAGTAGAAAATATTACATTATAAATGTAAGAGGTCAACAAAGATTTTATGAAAGTCTTACTTCATGATGTGATGTAATCTTGGGTCTGTAAACTGAGTGGTTCGGTTATTATGATCTACAAAATATATTCTCCCCGAAACTGTACTTCTGACTTCCCAGCCTGGTGGCAGTGGTCCAAGTTCATCACAATTCACACTGTTAAGGTCTCTACCAAAATGGAAGACAACAGAGAGGTTTGTCCATCTGCGTGTGGAGGCATAAGACCAAAACTTCAGCGAGAGGAGCCACAGGAGTCCCTGCTCAATGCGGCCATGGCCCAGTTTCCCTAAGAGGGACAGTCAGGGTGCTACTTACGCCGAACTCCCACCGAGTCCAGCCCTCTGTGCCGGAAGTGGCAGCAACCCCGAGAGAGAAAAACAGAGCCCTCGGAGCCTATGGCCGCGATGCGGAACCTGGTCCGCCCCGGGAAGAGCATTTCTTACACGGAAGAGGGCCAAGTAGCAGGAAGCGGCTGCCTGCTGCCGGAAAACTCTCCGAATTTACGAGCTAAATTAAATGCTCCAAGGTCACAGAGGTGTCTTCACTGAAAAGCTCCCAGAAGCCCGAGTGTAAAGCTCCAGGGGACAGAGCAACATGCCTTCGAAATCTCTCCGTTCTGAGCAGGTGCGCCGGGAAGCGGCAACCTCACGCTTTAGGGGGCTCTGATCCTAGCCTCGCACTTAGTGATTTCAATACAGTCCAGTCACGTGGGAACACAACATCACTGACCAGGTCGCTTGTCTAATTAGCACAAAACCTGACATTTCTTACCGTGGGGACTAAAGAGACACCTCATTCGTTTGCAGGTAACATTTCCATTCTAATTATAGATAATGAATCTGAAATTCAACAGAGACTCGGAAAGTCAGCGACAGGAAGCTTGTTCTCAGATGAAACAAATTATGAATAGAAAGGAAATGAGCATTACTAAAAATGTTATTAGGTAGTAATGCTATTCTAAAACAAAAAACAGATTTTGAAAAGGAAAGCAAAACAAAGAAAAAAGGAAAGAAACAACTCCATTATGGGATGGGGGAGGGGTGGGGGTCTCTCTGACCTGGGCTCAGATGTATGGCCTTGTAGAAGGAATTCGTATAGAAAAGCTTCATCTCCCCCAGGAATGGTCCCCAAGGGACTGAGGCAATAGGGACAGTAAAGTAGAAGAGAGAAAGGGTAATAGAGTCTTTATATTTCCTTTGTAACGTTTTCTGATGGAAAATTTTCAGCACATACAGAAGTAGAGAGAGACCATTAATAACCCACTCCGACCATCACCAACTCACTGTCCACCTACTTCAAACACGCCCCACTCGCTCCCACCGCCAGCCCCGGTTATTTGACGCAAACCCCAGCCATCCCATCATTTCATCCATTGCTTCTTTCCAGATGAAACTGACAGCAACACACCTTGAGGGGCTCATTGGGTTTTCGAGCCAGAGCACATCTGATTTCATCTAGGGCCAAGGGTCTTTCCAGTTACGTGAACTGATTTCAAGATCAGGCCTGCTCTCTCAAGGACCCACTTGTGTGCCAACAGCCGGTGCCCAGGTGCCAAAAGGGGTCTCAAGGGGGCAGCAGAGCTGGGACTCCAACCCAGAGAGCCTGAGTCCAAGGCCCTGTGACTCATCCTCGCTGCGCTGCCAAGCTTCCTCCAGCCCAAGGGGTGCTATCAATCAGCAGAGGGGCAGCAGCGGGGGTGGGGGGAGGAAGCCCCCCTGAAACTGCTGGAGAAAGGGCTCTGACTGTGCCCAGTCTAGAAAACTCACCTTGGTATCCTGGGGTCGTGCCATGTGCTAACTCCAGTCTGCGTGTGCAAGAAGTAAACCTGGCCCTGCACCGTTGTTCTTTGTTCTGCGTGAGAAACCAGAGGCGGTGGTTAGTTAGGGTCAACTCCAAGAAGAGTTGTCCGAGAATCTTCTCCGCACAGAGCCTAAGCTTCCTCTGGGTTTTCTTTTGAATCACGGAGACGAGAGGACAGCGGTGAGCTTCTGCCGGACCAGCCCACTTGACAAGCCCTGTGCGCGTATTTGGGCGGCTCGCCCTGCTCCCCCCTGCAGAGCGGTGCTCCCCTTCCCCGGCCACAGCCCGTGAGGCGCTGGATGTGTGTCCACCTGGGTACTGACCTCGCCCTGACCCCAGGCACCTCTGGCCGCTCTCAGGTCTGCTATCATCTGCACCTCTCCGTGACATTCCTCCTTCCCCGGGGCCGTCAGACGCTCCCGTTTCCCTCGTACCCTGCGCGGTCCTTCCCACATTCACATCACGGAGCGCCACAAGCACCCTCATCCAGCCCACACATCGTCTTGCATTTCATTTGCCTAAAATTCTCACACGATTGCCAAACTGGGAGAGTGGAGCAATTGCTGACAAATCCATGAGCTACCACCACCTTCTTTACTTGTCCTTATTCTGACACAGCCGTCCTACGGCACGGCTTTGCCAACGTCAGCAGTTAGGGCACGGACGAGTCCCTAAAATCGGCTTCAACGGGGAGCCACGGCAGTTGCCACGTGGGACAGCGGGGCGGATTCTCTCACCATAGCCTTCGGGCAGTTCTGGTGACTGGTGGCCGTGGGGTCGGTTCGGAGGCGTCTGGAGTGACCCCCGGACCTCGGGATTTCGGAGTCGCTGCGCCTGGAGTCTTTGATCTTGACTTGGGGACTCCACGAACCTGCAGTCCCCTCCCCCCACAGCAGCAGCAGTTCTGTCTGTGTAAGGGGCCGGCTCCTCCATGAAGCAGCTGAGTGGCCTTCCAGGCCCTGAGTCTTCATACACGGTTCTGGAAGGGAGAGGGGCACAGTGCACATGGGGACCCCAGTCCGAGACAAGCGCCTAAAAACCGACCGCGGTGCCCCCACACCCGCTTACTGGGCTTTCCCTCAATCGAGATGCCCCCAGTGCCTACTTGTACAAATTTTGATCTGTCTTATTCAAACAGAAAGACAGACCTCTTCATGAGGCACAAGCAGTCAAAGGAGCCATATGTCAAGTGCCCCCAAGGCCACGTGCAGGAAGCCATCCTCGGGGAGAGCTGAATGACTGAAAAGCCCAACCCTGCACCCTAAGAAGCTCGTGAAATGAGATTTCATTTTTCTCGTTTAAAATCAAATCCAAATACTCCATTTTCCTTGTTACCTTACTCTGGTATAGAACTCCTGGTTATATAAAGTACTGCAATGACTTTAAGTACTCTCTAACATACGTCTCTACCTCCTGAACAATTCTGAAGACAATTTACCTTAATAGGCTATTCCCTTCACAAGTATTTTTTAAAAACATCTTACACTGAAAACTTTCAAACATATACAAATTGAGAGACTATCTCCATAACCACCCCCCCCCCAACAATGACCAGCTCCCAGCTACTCCTCCACTCTCCCCCCTCCACTGGATTATTTTGAAACCAATCCCAGAGTGACTGATTTCATCCTTAAATATTTCAGCATATATCTCAAGAAGATAAGGACTTCTTCCATAATCACAACTAAAAAAAAAGGGACATTGATTTTTTTAATATCATCAAATACCAGTGTCCAAATTTCTCCAGTCAGTAGTCTCATTTATCGGGATCTAAACAAGGTCCCCACACTGCATTTAGTAGGTATGTCTCTTAAGTCTCTGTTATTATTAATTTGTAGATTCCCCTCCTTTTTATTTCTCTTGCGACATAGTTGTCGAAGATGGAGTTGTCTTCCGTACTCTGCAGAGCGCCCCCTTTTGAATGCTGCTTAGGGCCTTCCTGGCGGGCTGGGCAGCACATTCCTCCATCCTCTGGATTTCCAAGAGGTGTGTTAATGTCAGATTACCTCTCTTTTGTGGTCTTTAAGCAACTATTAATGATTACTGCCCAGCTCCATTAAGGCATGGGGATTGCAAAACTGTGACCGCGACCAATGAGTTCTTAAGGTTTGTTTTTTTTGTTTTTTTTTTTAAGTGTTTTAGGGCTTTTTTTTGCTCAGTGTTATGATAAACTCAAGAATTTTTGATATATTTGATGTGTTTTCATCCATTGTAGTTATAACTCTTAATGACGCTCAAACTCTTTGGCCAGTGAAAATCTCTTTCAATTGGATCCCGGGTCTTGTGGGCGCGACCCCACTAATCTGTACAGCCTCCTTTATAAACAGGGAAACCGGACCCCGCCTGTATCCCAAAGTCTTTCCCTGCATGTCAAGCCGTCAGCACAAAGGTGTGAGGGCTACTTTCAGGAAGCACGAGAGCCCAAGGCAGCAGAGACGTGAGCGGGCACCACCAGGGGGATACGTACCCTTCGTTCTCTAAAAGTCCTCTGCAGTCTACCACAGAGCCTCCAGTGCCTATCCTGTCTCGTGTCTGTAAACTGACTAAAACAGAAAAGAACGTCTTGCGTTAAAATCCAGTGGCATTTCATACAATTGTCATACAGCGAGCCATTGCGAGTAACTTATGTAGAATATTATTATACAAAGCAAGGCACATATATATACAGAAACATATCTACTCCTAGGCTCTCAAGTATGAAGCATTTACTCCATGAGCTGCATGCCCCCGCATACTGCTTGGAACATTCCTGGTAAATATGGAGAAGGGGGTGCTGTGTTTTCACCCACACCATAAAAATAACAGATTCACAATAGTCGCTTCCTCTAAGTTACCTCATTTTTAAAGAAGATCTTTAATAAGGACACAGAGAGCACTTCCAGTATCTGCGAAGTCTAGATGAATTTAAATATTTATCCTCTATCCCTACTGTGAACAACAAAGACATTTCTAAAGTTGCTTCTAGTTATTCGTTTTCCCCCGGCACCCAGAGAAAAAGAAATCACAAACAGAAAAGCATTAAGTGAGAACTTTCTCATTATGACGGTTTTCATGATGCATACCCACTGTTCATTTGAGTCAAGTCTCTTCAAGACAATGCCCGAAAGATCTGGTGTCCTAACTCACTCTGGTATGCTGCTGAAATACTAGGTTTTCTCCGCCTCCTTGCAATGCATATAGTCAACATTGGAATTACCCTAAAATGCTAATAAGATGGGATGGATAACAGAACAAGCCACTTGACAGAGCGCTTCCAATGGGATACCTCCAGTCAAGGCTTGTAACTTTAGCACATTTGATTTTTTTTTTCCTCCTCCATACTTCAATCCTAACTCTATAAAATCCCTATTACACGGAAGTCTTCTGAAGTCATCCTTGCTTTGTACATTCATACACGATAGGTCTGCCCAGAGAAACTAGTTCTTAGCTTCGCATGTGTGGCCACCACTCTTATCATAAACGCTTGGAGGAGACAATGACAAATTAATCGTCCATGAATGAGGTGCTTAAAATTATATTTGAAATTATAACCCGAAATGTTTTCGGAGCCTAGTCGTTGTAACTCAACTTGGGATGGCGGGATGAAGGGAATTCGATAAAATAATAAGACCACACAAGATGAGCATTTTTAGTGCTGAAAAGATGGCCCTGGATGTGGCTTGTCCTTTGAAATCTGTCACCACTGTCGTGCCTGTGTGTGCTTTCTCGCTGATGAAGCGCTGAATGTTAAAGTCTGTAAAAGCATCTCTTTATACAGATGAGAAAGTTCTTACCCACTATTTGGCCACGAACTGCATCAGTATCTGAGGGATTTAGTTTGCATAGATCCAAACGCTGGTCTGCAAACAAACAATTCAAAACTTAACCCAGGGAAATGGTAACTAGGGAGGAAGGCAGGAATTGTCTATTTCAGTATTCAAAAGGGAAAAAAAAAAAAAAAAGATGCCTCATAAGCCTTCTTCAGTTGTATTGAGAGGCAGGAAAGCATTTGGTTCTTACATCCGGTATCTTTTAATCTGCTGATGGCGTTGGAGAGCAGCCTCACGCAGCCCAGAAAGCCAGCCCCCTGCTTCTTGTGGATCTTCTTGTGGTTCCACACGCTGATGGTTATAGAATCCGTTTTCCCAACATACCTGAAAACAGGCAAACTCCTTTTTAATTGTCTTTCTGAATTAGGATAGCCCGCTGAGATTTAATCTGATTGACTTGTTAGTACAAAAGAGTCCTTTTCACGTAATGGGGGCTCTCTAGTCCGCATCTAACAGGCACTCAATAAATACACATTGACTCACTTCAATGGTCTGGGAGGACTACAGCCAGTTATGGAAGACGCAAATGGACCTAACTATATCGTGATGATAATATAAGAACAGAGATTTGCTATATTTGCACAGTTCCAAAGAACAATGAGAGGAGACCTAAATTCCCACTAATCAGGCTTTAATGTAGAATACCAGTTTGCACCAAGGGCTACTTAGAAACCCTCAGATCCACCCAAAGCACCCTACAGAGCACTAACTCAGACATCACACCCCCACCTACTCTCCATGCAAATCAACCAGAGGGCAGCTTTCCGGATGAGGAGTGACCACCACCTTCCAAGTCACTTGGGATTCTTGAGGGTAACTGCAATGAGTCTTGGAATCCAGTTACTAAAAATCCCACCCAAACTCCGTGCAATCTGTATCATACAAAACCAAGAATCACTCCAGTTTCCTTCAATGAAAATTTCTCAGCAGGGACACGAAAATGTAGGTGGATATAAAACAGTGGTTTTCAAGCTGCAATCCATTTTAGGAATGAAGGTAAGAAATTGTCTGATGGTTGCATAGGCTGAAAGAGATTCAACCATACCAAACTATATTTACTCTTGTAGAAGATCTACTTGTACTAAAAAGTGGCATTTTAAAAGATGGAAATATATAGAACACATATTTGCATAATAAATTTTATTATTTATTTATTTGCATAATAAAAGATTTTATTCGCAAGTAATCTCTACACCGAACATGGGGCTCGAACTCACAACCCCGAGGTCAAGAGTCTCATGCTCCACCGACTGAGCCAGTCAGATGCCCCCAAAATAATGCATTAATTAATTAATTAATGTCTGCCTTCAGCTCAGGTCATGATCCTGGGGTCCTGGGATCAAGTCCCACATTAGGCTCCCTGCTCAGAGGGAGCCTGCTTCTCCCTTTACTCTTCTCCCCCACTCATGATCTCTCTCATTCTCCCTCTCTCAAATAAATAAAATCTTAAAAAAAAAATAAAGCCCTACAACCAGGTTTAGAGTTTCACTGGAAAAGACAAAAAACAAAAAAGAGTAGCATATAGAGGACCTGAACCATGGCCCCTTTTTTCCTGTTAGCATGGCCAGGAGATAGAAAAATTTGAAAACCACAGTAATGGAAGCAAACCATAAAAATCCATGAAAATGTCAAACATAAGAACTTCCAAGTATACGGATTCTAAAATTAGGCAGTATGTATCCATTTGGCCATCCACTTCTGTTATCAATAAGAAATTAGTAAATCATTTTTATCTTTATTATTAAATGCTTCTCTTAAAAGCTAGATACCCTACTTTCCTGGGGCTCCCCAAATGGCTTATAGAATATTCGACTCACAGATCGTAGTGCTGGTTCCATTTGGGGTCCAACGTGTTTTTCACAGTGTCCGTTGAGTGGCACTGCCCAGATCCGTCCACCACAATCTTTGCAAAGGGATCAGGGAGTCCTAGAGGAGAGGGGACAGCCACACCTGGATGAGACTACAGATCCATCCGTGGGACACAGAACATGGTCTTACAGGCTACAGAGAGCTTCAAGATCATCTAATTTAGTGAAGATTACCCTGGTGCATTTTACTCTCTAATTTAGGGTTAGTTTGATCAGCAAAATAAGTTATTGCTAGTTAGCTTCCTAAGAGAGGCAACCCAGTATGACAGCACTCTCAGATTTTTAGAGGCTAGAAAATGATAAAAAATAGGTTTAAGTTCAAAATTTCCTTTCTGATGATCACTAAGTGTGCTAACTAAATGGAAGAAAAGGGGTCTATAATTAATTGTATTTAAACTTTCTAAAAAATAATACCTAGAAATCTTGTTTACTGATCTTTGTCTAGTTTATCTACGGACACGAGTGTTCACCAAGTCTTAATCAGGTAGGTTCCTAAAGGCTGGCGTTATGAATCACACGGATTTATACAATCCGAGAGGTGGCAACGTTAGGGCTTTAAAGATACACCTGGATGGGGGCCACTACTCCCGAGCTTCCTAGCTACTTGAATAAAGCCTGTAAGCCTAAGTTTAAAGTGTGAATAATACCACTTAAGAACTGAGCAGCACTCTTGTGAGGATCAGAAAAAGTGAAAAATTCATGCTACAGACACCTACTTTATAGTAAGTGAATTTTTTTGAGTTAAGGGGTGATTTCTTCCTGCAGAGAAGGATCCTCTCATTCTATCTTTTCCACTTTTTTTTTTTACACTTCCTTTCATTATGAGGCTTTCAAAATGTGATTTAATTTCTAAAATTTGACTAACAATTTGACTCAAACCCAGCTATTTTATAGAAGAAATGTCTTGTGTGTATTTGAGCTGAGAGCACTTCATCCAGCAGAAAGCAATGTATTCATGGGCGGAAAGACAGAAAACAGGGTGTGGCCGGAACAGGGAATGAGAGAGACCGTGTTCTTGTATGAGTTATAAACTCCGTGCCTAGCAGCTAAGGAGCCTCTGCATTGTAGTCAATTTGGAAATGAAGCTGGTCAAAGCATGGATCTATTCGGCAAAGGGCAGAACTCTTCCAGGGAATATACCCAGGGGTTTTTAAAAAGTTTACATTGCAAAAGACATGTGAGGAATATTAATATTGTAAGAGAGCAAAAGCGGGTGTGTACTTACTGAAGAAGTCTTTCTTTGCAAGGTTCTTGGCACATAATACTGAAAACAAACAGAAATCTAGGGTTAGCATTTATGGAGAAGATGTTCAGCACAACTAGTTGCTATGGACTGGACTGTGTTGCCCCCTCCCCTAACTGGCCCCCAATTAATGTCAAAGCCCTAACCCCAATGTGATGGCATTTGGAGGTGGGACCTTTAGGAAGTGCTCAGGTTTGGATGAGGTCATCAGGGTGGGGCCCTCGTGGTGGGATTAGTGCCCTGACAAGAAGAGACCCTAAAGCTTGCTCTCGTTCTGCTCTCCATGAGAGGACACAGCAAGATGGTGGCCATCTCTATGCCACAAGAGGGCCCTCACCAAGACCACATCTGCCAGCGCCTTGATCTTAGGCTTTTCCAGCCTCCAGAACTGTGAGAAATAGATGTTATTTAAGCCATGTAGCCTATGGTATTTTGTTACAGCAGCACAAACAACTGAGACACAAGTCTATATTTGCAATGGGGAAAAAAAAAATCTAGAAATTATCTCTGCCAATGATTATCTTTCAAGTTTAGTACTACACTAAACAAAAAACCTGACAACTAGAAAGTATCTTCTCCTCCAATTGGGAATCAACTGTAACAAATATGTTTTAATTTAAACTTTAAATGTTAAACATACAGAGATAAATTTATCAATATGCTCTTACGACTGCACAGGATCACACGAATGCCAATTCAAATTAAGACCTACAATATTTGGGGCACCTGGGTGGCTCAGTCATTAAGCGTCTGCCTTCGGCTCAGGTCATAATCCCAGAGTCCTGGGATCGAGCCCCGCATCGGGCTCCCTGCTCAGCAGGAAGCCTGCTTCTCCCTCTCCCACTTCCCCTGCTTGTGTTCCCTCTCTCACTGTGTCTCTGTCAAATAAATAAATAAATAAAATCTTTAAAAAAAAAAAAAAAAGACCTACAATATTTACCTTATAGCTACTGCTAACAGCAACGAAAGGAACTGCACTTTGGACATTCAGATAAATAACACAATTTTGCAAATGCTAGATAACAGAAAGCAAGGGAGAAGATAGAAAAGATGGGGCCACCATCAAGTGTTGTGAAACATAAATGAAAAAATGCATATTAAGAATTTAGCACAGGGGCACCTGGGTGGCTCAGTCAGTTAAGCGTCCTTGGTTTCAGCTCAGGTTATGATCTCAAGGTCATGAGACAGAGCCCACCGCTGGGCTCCATGCTAAGAGTAGAGATTCTCTCTCCCTCTCCCTCTGCCCCTCCCGATCATGCTCTCTTGCTCGCTCTCTAAAATAAGTAAATCAATCTTAAAAAAAAATAATAATTTAGCACAATGTTGGCATATAGAAAGAATAAATGTTATTATTACTTTAATAACGAGGTGGCACCAGGTACTGTGAAGAAATTTTGTCACCAGCTCTGTTACATGATTAAAGCTACCATCACAAGGGAAAATACACCAATGTCACTTTTCCAGCACTTCACAAATTTTGCCAATTTTTAAGAATATAGTGTTTTATGACAAACCATATTATTTTATGTATATTCATGTATATTGTTCTGCAAACTTTTCACTCAGTATATTTTTATACAACATCCTTATCAGATATAATTCATAAACAATTCATCTATTTAAAGCATACAATTCAATGGCTTTTAGTATATTCACAGGGTTGCACAACCACTGCAATCATTTTTAAAACATTTTCCTCATCCCCCAGAAGAGATTCCATACCCATTAGCTGTTACTCAACTACCCCTCACCCTACTCCTAGGCAACCACTAATCTCCTTTACGTCTCTGTGGATTTGCCTTCTGGACAGTTCGTATCAATGGAATCATACCGTATGTGGCATTTTGTGACTGGTTTCTTCTGCTGTGCATGTTTTTAAAGTTCACCCATGTTGTAGCATGAATCAGTACCTCGTTCCTTTTCGTAACGGATACCCCATCGTACGCATAGACCGCATTTTCTTGATCCATTCATCAGCTCAGAGACATCTGGACTGTTTCCAGTTTTTGGCTATTATGAATGATGCCGTACAGGCTGTGGTGCAGACCTCGATTTTCTTTCTCTTGTTGGGAACCTCTGAGGCATTACATCTAACATTTTGAGCAAGTGCCGGACAGTTTTCCACAGCATCTGCACTATTTCATTGTCCCACCAGCAGCGTCTGAGGGCTCCGATTTCTCCACACCCTAGTACTTGTTAATGTCGGTCTCTGTGGTTTTAATTTGCATTTCTCCGATGACTAATGACGTGGAGCATCTTTTCATGTGCTTATTAGCTATTGGTAAATCGTCTTTGGAGAAATTTCTATTTAAAATTTTTTGCCTGGGGCGCCTGGGTGGCTCAGATGGTTAAGCGTCTGCCTTCGGCTCAGGTCATAATCCCAGAGTCCCGGGATCGAGTCCCGCATCGGGCTCCTTGCTCAGCGGGGAGCCTGCTTCTCCCTCTCCCACTCCCCCTGCTTGTTTTCCCCCTCTTGCTGTGTGTCTCTCTCTGTCAAATAAATAAATAAAATCTTTAAAAATAAATAAATAAAAAATTTTTGCCCTTTAATTGGGTGATTTGCCCCTTTCTGTGAGAATTCTTTATTCTAAATATATAGATATCTATAGGTAAGACATTCTCATCAGATACAGGACTTGCAAATATTCTCCCACTCTGTGGGTTTTCACTTTCTTGACGGTGTTCTTTGAGGCAGCAAAGTTTTTAATTTTGAGGAAAGTCCAGTGCATCTATTTTCTTTGGTTGCTTGTGCTTCTGGTGTCATGTTGAAGAAGGCTTTGCCTAACCAATGGTGTTAGAGATTTACTCCTATATTTTCTTCTAATGGCTTTAATACTTTTAGCTTTTTTACACTTTTAACTAGACATTTAGCCTATGATCTATTTTGAGTGTGATGTGAAGAAGGGGTCCAAGTTCAGTCCTTGGCAGGTGGATATCCAGTTGTACCAGCACAATCTGTTGACAAGACTATTCTTTCCCGGGGGCCTGGGTGGCTCAGTTGGTTAAGCGACTGCCTTCGGCTCAGGTCATGATCCTGGAGTCCCGGGATCGAGTCCCGCATCGGGCTCCCTGCTCGGCGGGGAGTCTGCTTCTCCCTCTGACCCTCCCCCCTCCCATGTGCTCTCGCTCTCTCTCTCAAATAAATAAATAAAATCTTTAAAAAAAAAAAAAAAAGGGCGCCTGGGTGGCTCAGTCGTTAAGCGTCTGCCTTCGGCTCAGGTCATGATCCCACGGTCCTGGGATCGAGTCCCACATCGGGCTCCCGCCTCGGCAGGAAGCCTGCTTCTCCCTCTCCCACTCCCCCTGCTTGTGTTCCTGCTCTCGCTCGCTTGCTCTCTCTCTCTGTCAAATAAATAAATAAAATCTTTAAAAAAAAAGACTATTCTTTCCCCATTGACTTGCCTAGACCCTTGCTAAAAATTAATTCCCTGTAAATGTGAGAGCTCATTTGTGGTCCTTCAATCTATTCCACTGATCTGTATGTCTCTCCTCATGCCATGATCACACTGTCTTGATTACTGTCTTAGTCTGTTCAGGCTACTATAACAAAATACAATAATCAGGTAGCTTATAAACAGCAAACATTTACTTCTCACAGTTTTGAGTTTGAGATCAGGATGCCAGCACAGTTTGGTGGGTAGGCAGACTTCTTATAAATCCTCAGCAGAAGGGGCTAGGGATCTCTCTGGAATCTCTATTATAAGATCCTAAATCCATTCATCAAGGTTCCACCTCATGACTTAAGTTCCCCCAAAGGCCCCACCTACTAATACTGCCTCCTTTTGGGGGGAGGGGCACAAAATTCAGACCATAGTAATTACCATAGCTTTGTAGTAAATTTAGAAATTAGGAAGCATGAGTCCTCCAACTTTGTTCTTTTTCAAGATTGTTTTAGCTATTCTGGATCTGTCAAATTGTCATGACTTTTACGATCAGCTTGTTAATTTGGGGGAGAAGGGGAGAGCCAGCCTGGAGTTTAATAAGGATTTCACTGAATCTGCAGGAAACGTGGAGAGTAGTGTCATCCTAACAATCTTAAATATTCTACTCCATGAAGATGGGATGCCACCCCCCCATTCATTTAAGTCAAAGTTCTTTAACTTTGTTCTGTAATTTTCAGAATATAAGTTCTGTATTTCTTTTATTAAACATATTTCTAAGTATTTTAATCATTTAAAAAATTTTTTAATTTATTTGTTTGAGAGAGAGAGAGCGAGCATGACGGGAGGGGAAGAGGCAGAGAGAGGGAGAAGCAGACTCCCCACTGAGCAGGGAGCCTGATGTGGGGCTTGATCCCAAGACCCTGAGATCATGACCTGAGTGGAAGGCAGATGCTTAACCGACTGAGCCACCAGGTGCCCCCCTAAGTACTTTAATCTTTTGGATGCTATTGCAAATGGAACTGTTTCCTTAATTATATTTTCAGATTATTCATTTCTAGTGTACAGAAATACGATTTTTGTATATTCAACTTGTATCTTGAAACTTTGTTGAACTCATTTATTAGCTCTAATACTTTTATTATTTTGAATTTTCTGTATAAAGATCATACCACCTGAAGATACAGTTTTACTTCTTCCTTTCCAATCTGGATGTTTTTGGGTTTGTTTGGTTTCTTTTAATTTCTCATGCCTAACTAATTTCTCATGCCCACTACCTCCAATACAATCCTGAATGGCAGGGGTGGGCATTTAATCTTGGTCGTGATCTCAGACTTTCAACCACTGAGTATGATGTTAGCGGTGGGGGGGGGAGGGGTCCATAGATGCCCTATACTTGGCTTGGGAAGTTTCCTTCTGTTCCTAGTTTCTTGAGTGTTTTCATCATGAAGCACTGTTAGATTCTGCCAAATACTTTTTCTGCATCTACTAAGATGATCACTTAGTGTTTGTCCTGAATCCATTGGTATGATAGAGCACATTGATTTTCAGATGGTAAACCAACCCTGCATTCTGAGATAAATTCTACTTGGTTATGGTGCATAATCTTTTTATGTCCTGCTGTATTCAGTTTGCTAGTAA